GTTTACAAGTCGCTTCTAGAATACTCCTGTCATGTTCCCGTTTTACATGTTATAGACCATAGATTAACAGCACACGTCATTACGTCACCACGCCACGCCCCCCGACGTTCCTCCAGAATCACACGTATCGACATACAGTTGGTCTTCGTTATGATACCGTAAACAGTTTGGGGTGTTTTTATTAATTTTTTTTACAAACGCTTTAAGTACAGTTAATTATTTGTCATGATATACGTGCTAATAGACAACTGCTTGAAGCCGTGGATGTGTCCCAAATCGCGTAGCCGAGATACATGTATTTTTCCCCACTACAGGCCTATAGTATGCAGTATGCAGTTTGGGACGCAGGCGAACACTCTTGTTCGCCGTAAAGCGGGTTGCGCTGCTGTGCATGATTGTGTACGGTCATAAAATGCGGTGAAAACTCTCACACGACGTTCATAATGTGATTAAGGTGTTTACATGTCTGTAATACATGTCCATAATGGGACTAAAACAGGAGTACTCCACGTCTTAATTTGATTAGAGCTTACTTCGAGTATGACCTTAATTAGATTAAGTTAAGTAAAAATTGCTGTTTACATGGTAGTTTCTTAATTAGAGTATAGTCTTAATCGAATTATTGTTGTCCATGTAAACACAACTTGTAATACACGTCCATAATGCGACCAAAACAGGAGTACTCCACCTGTCTTAATTGGATTAGAGCTTAATTCGAGTATGACCTTAATTACATTAAGGTAAGTAAAAATCGCTGTTAACATGGTAGTTTCTTAATCATAGTATGGTCTTCATGGGGTTAAGAGTGGATTATTGTTGTCCATGTAAACGCAGCTAGTGGCAGGCAGCTAATCGGTTAGAAAAATCAGTTACCCAAATAAGCAATTACACCCACTGAGTGTGGGAAATGATGTTGCTTGTGCATACAGATTTCCTCCTCGTGTGTTACAGCTTGCACTGCACGTGAAGGTTTAAAACAAGCACGCGAGTTCTCCCCTTTCCATGCGTGTACATCTAGTTTCCTCTCACAGTAATCAATAATCCGCTCGGATTTTTGGTATGGACTTGCCACCAAAATGCAGCCAGGTGGTTCCAGTGCATGTGTGAGCATGCATGTATACAGCAGGGGGAAGGGGAGGGGCTAAGTTATTTGGAGTAAAAGATGGCATGAGGGCCGCCACAGTCTTGGCAATTAATGGGAAACACTGCAACATACCTCACACTATATATTATTCGCCATTTCTGTTGCCATTTTGATAATGCATAAGTCTTGTTTAATCTTGTTGTTTATTATTATGACGCTGACGCTATATAGAGACTTAATGCACATTCCCGTTCTAGAACGATTTATTATTTTCTTCCTCCATTTATTGTATCCTGTTTACCCTTAATACTGTCCCAAATGAGATCCTTTGATTGGCCAAATGTTTTCTGGTCTCTGAACAGTGAACGCCCCTGGCTCTACAAGTGCACAAATAATTTTTGCTCCACATTTCACAGAGATATGTGGTGCAAAAGTGAGAGCATGCAGAACTTGAGAACAAAAGTGAGAGCAGAACAAAACAGAGCATGCAGAAGTCATTTGTTGATTGTTAAATGAAAAAACAACATTTGATACTCGTAACTGCAGATTTAAGCAGTTGTAGTTACTGACTTGTGTCTGTGCTATAAAAATATCCGAGAAAAAAAAGAAAATATTCCACAGGTGTGCAACTCTCATGGCATGAATTCACATACTGATTTACAGATGTGCAGAACTTGTCCATGACTTCACATTTTTTATATGGGTGTGTGAATGTGTTGTGATTTGTAGAATAGAATTTGTGATTTGTAGAATAGGATTTGTGCACTTACAATGAAGAATTTGAGAAGGTTGTGAGAAAAACTGTTGTGTTTGTGGGAAAACACTAGAATCATTAAAATATTTGAGCAGACCTGCACCCATAAATTTTAATACGAACATGAAATGGAATTATTGTAATGGTTTGTTATCAAGTCAAATGTTTATAATAAAAAAAGGCATGTGGTGCGACCATGACAAGAGTCTGGAACAGGCAGACGTCAGGCGAAAAGCAAACAGAATCTCAGAGGTGAGACGACATGCAAAAGAAAAAATAGGCACAAAATCTAGACACAAGTAATCAGGCAGAGAATGAATGCTTGGTATGGTCACACACACTAAGAATTGGAGCGTATACTTCATAGTGAGTGAATGTTCTGAAAGTACTTAAATACTTAGAGTGAATTAATGAGATGATTGAATCCAGGTGTGCGTGACCAGAAGGATGATGTCCATGACGGGCATGTTTGTAGGCTACAATGTAGGATGCTAGGGTATGAACCATAAACACCGGCAGTGTTCCTTGTGTCCATACCCCTCCCACTCATTAAGGTATTGACCGCTCCTGCAATGAGAGTTTATGATGTTTTTCACCAAGTAGACTGGCTGGCCTTCTATGTCCAGGGGTGGTGGGGGGGCACTGGGTGGTAGGTCATTAGATAGAGGGCCTCAAATGACTGGTTTCAGTCTGGAGCAATGTATCAGTGGCAGGGAAGATTGAGTTTATATGTTACTTTGTTGATTTTTTGGAAATTTTTAAATAGACCTACATATCTGGGAGTGAGTTTTTAGCAAGTGTGAGGTTATCGTAGGTCCCTTGTAGACAGCCATATCTGGTCTGTTGGTTGGTAGTGAGGGTGTTGGCTTTGATATTGATCGGCGAATGGGCGAATTGAGGAGTGCTTTCCCACACTTGCTCAGTGCACCGGAACCAATTAGCCAAGGTAGGCGAATCTTTGATGTAGGGGAATAGTGGTGGCTGAAATCCGAGCATGCACTGGAAAGGCGTCAATTGTGTGGCAAGGAATTTTCGGTGTATTCAGCCTAGGGTAGGATCTGGGCCCAGTCTCATGGATTGGCCGAGCATTAGGTGTACAGAAAACAGCCTATTTCTTAGTTGGCCCTGTTACAACCCACTATCTTGGGACAGGATGTTTTGTCTGCTGTGACTGTTTGTGTGCAGGTCCAAACTCCATCCCAGACTTTCCAGCCTGCCTTGCTCCCGCCTCCTTGGATGACCTCACTGATTGGCGGCCATTTTTAAAGACGAAGACGGAGTGAGAAGTGGTGGGATGATGGAGGTGTTTGTATGATTTGTTGTTAGGAGATTGCTTGATTTGCGTGCTTGCTCTTGTGGCTAAATTCTGTATTTTGTCCGCTGTTCTGGTTTTGACTTTGAGTTTGATTATCCCTATATATATATATATATATATATATATATATATATATATATATATATATATATATATATTGTAACGCCAGTCCGGCAGGTATGACAGGCGAAACGGTCCTTCCCCGACTGCCGCACCGGCACAAAGCGAACAGCTTCGTGCCGGACCCCATACCCGCCGGAAGGGCTGTCATGGCGGGGCAGAGCCGCCAGCGCCCGGTGATTGGAGAGGCAGACGGAAGAATTCCACCACTCCGACACCGGAAGAAGAGGATAAAAGGAACCCCTTCCGCCGACGCGGGTTTGAGTACCAACTCACCGACACTGCACCCATCCGTGACGCTCATACAAGGTATTCCATCCGCTGATGCGGATCCCAGGTTCATATTAACCTCTCTCCCTCTTTTCCCACAAAGGCACGGACGAGGACGACCGCGGCTGAAGCCACGCGACGCTAACAGACGGCACGGGAATCCCTCGGCTTCTTTTTTATATATATATATATATATATATATATATATATATATATATATATATATATATATATATATATATATATATATATATATATATATATATATATATATATATCTTTTTTTCTTTTCTTTTAGGTAAGATAGCTACCTAATCATAGAATCCTTTTGTTTATTAGAAGGCAACATAGTGTAGCTTGGGCTTTTCAGCAAATCTCAGAAAGGATTGAGACCAGGTGTGTGTGATAAGAACAATGGTGGTTGTGAACGTGGAAGCATGTGTTTATACTGGGACCTGGAATCCGTGACAGCCATGTTTGCAGGCCGCGATGCAGGATGGGAAGTGGAGTCCACTGACTGGTTTGACCTGACAGAGGGCCAGCTGGGTTGACTGGACATTTAGGAGCAGTCTGTCAGGTGTTCATGAAATTTACAGATTAAATTCTTTTTACGGTCTGCTCTTGGGCTGAATTTGCTGTGATGACCAGTCCTAGAGAAATTTCAGTCTTGGGTTCATAACGTTTATAAGAAGATATCATAAAAACAGCACACTTTCATATCCACAGCATTGGAAGTTGAAATGTTCTGATTCACAAATTATGCTTCAATACTGACATTTTTAAAAGGGGCAGAACCCACAAAAGTCCAGTTTGTGGTCAGCGCTAATGAAGTAGATTTATAAATTGTGGCAGTAATTTTATTAAGGTTATGTAGGATGCATTAAGAGTGTATGGTTTATATGTTTTGTATGATTACTGGAAATAGTTTCCTAAGCTAAAGTTTTAACAGATTATACATGTTTGAACACAACCTCTGTCAAGCTAATACAAATGGCTAATACTTGCAAGTTTAAACAAAACCACAGTAAAATAGGAAAGGCCTAGGCTTACATGTTGATAGAAACCTCCGACCTAAACAAAATTGTTTAACAAATAGACTGTATAAAAGCCTCTGATGTAGGAACATAATTTTAATGAAAGTTTTGCTTGAAGCTGTTTTAAAGTAAATACTATTAGAACATTGCAATTCTAGCCACTGAATGTTAGACACTTTTGACAGAGTAATAGAAAAGAAAAGTCACATATACAAGTATACTGGGGTGAAAATCTGTTAATCAAATATCCTAGCTTGTTAGGAACCTGGGGCCAGAGCGCAGGATCTGCCATCATATGGTTTCCCTAAAGCAGTGAGAATTAAGGGCTCAACAATGGTTATTGGGCAGTGCTGGGGCTTGAACTCACAACCTTCTGACCAGTAGCTCAGAGTAACCACAGAGCCAACACTGACACCAAATGAAGGTCACTGCTGGGATTTGTCCCCAGGATCAGGATTTGTTTACTAGACAAAGAAGTTGATCAACTAAGCAACAGTGACACACTTGGCTGTCAAAACAAATTGGAACATTCCAAAAAATTTACTTTTCATTCCACGGTTAATCCTTTCAAATGGTTCCCCTTCTCCTGCATTGATTTACTTGGCACAAAAAAAAGTAAATTGGTTACCTGGCTGAACAGCCAGAGATCTCTATTTCTAAAGATCGCCAAAACTAATTCTCTATCTAATGTATAAACTACAGCCACTGATCCACAGCTTGGGGTGTCAATTTCCTAAGTGAACTAGAAGAAATAAAAATATGTAAATAGCAAATAAAATGATATAAAATAAAAATAAATACCAACCCCTACCGATATACCAGACTGTATTACCTCTTTGAGAACTTCGTGCAGTAGCTGGACGCTGGCATCTGAAATGTTCCAGGGGTCTCGTTCCTCCACAAGCATGGCATCCAGCGTGCCCTTTTCCATGACCACATCAAATGAGGAATCAGGGAAAGCCAGTCGACGAGCATCCATGCACACCCAGCTCATGCCCATGCAGTCAACGTGACGCTGGGCCATGCTCTCCACACACACACGTGAATAGTCCACGTTAGTTATAGTCGTGTAGCCGGCCAGGTACATGTGCAAGCTTAGAGCACTGTTCCCGCAACCTGAAACAAGAAAAACAAGGAAAGAGTAAATTCAAAAACAAGGAAAGAGTAAATTCAATGTTAAGTCTACATCAAGACTTGCTTGCATGATTTGTCTATAAACATCATAGATGAAATGCTAAACTAAAGTACACTTGTCATCTCGAAAAGGGGCTATCCAGCTTGCACAATTTGTCTGTACACCAAACAAACCTTAATTCTTCAAACATCTAATTTACTGATTTTTCAGCCAATCACAAAAAGGTTATTAAAATTCCACCAGCTTCCGAAGTAAGCTTCTCGTCCTCCTGAGTTGGGGGCTCAAAAGCGGACAGACTGAGGGGGTGGTTTGTATAAGACAAAAAAAGGTCTTGGGGAGAAATTAAGGGTTCAGCCATAAAGTTACCCCATGTTCCCAGAACTCTAGTGTAGGTACGCTCAGCTTATTGATAAGGCCTGCAACTCTCCTACTCATCTAACCGATGCTACGGCTAAGAGGAGAGCTGATTTCATAGACAGCCAACTCAATTCAGTCCTCTCTAGGTGTTCAAATGGAGGCTGACACAGTGCCTCTAATACAAGAGGCAAGTCCCAAGAGGATACTGGGTTTCATCAAGGAAGTCTCTGTTGTTGAGCACCTTTAAGAAAGTGGGTTACAAGGGCCAGACCTAAACCCTATTGTGCATCTGTGGGGCATCCTCAAACGGAAGGTGGAGGAGCACAAGGTCTCTAACATGCACCAGCTTTGGGAATGTTTTCATGGAGGAGTGGAAAAGGACTCCAGTGACAACCTGTGATGCTCTGGTGAACTCCATGCCCAAGAGGGTTAAGGCAGTGCTGGAAAGTAATGGTGGCCACACAAAATATTGACACTTTGGGCCCAATTTGGACATTTTCACTTAGGGGTGTACTCACTTTTGTTAGCAGCAGTTTAGACATTAATGGCTATGTGTATTTTGAGGGGACAGCAAATTTACACTGTTACACAAGCTGTACACTCAATACTTTACATTGTAGCAAAGTGGCATTTCTTCAGTGTTGTCACATGAAAAGATATAATAAAATATTTACAAAAATGTGAGGGGTGTACTCACTTTTGTGAGATACTGTATACCTAGATGGTGGAGGCTGCAAGGCCTCCATCAAGACGGGACTGGAGAAAGCTGAGGATTATCGGTATGAAACAGCATGTTGGTTCCTGATTTTGTGCTTGGCACCACTCAAAAAAAAACTTCCATCAGTTAACATACAACGAAATAGTGGAAGATGCATGGGAGTTGTGGATGCCAGATTTGACCCTCCAGCTGCGAGAGGAGATCCGTCCTCACAGGGAGACACCAAGGCTCCCTGTACAGTAATCTGCGTAATATTGGGAACCACGCTCTCCCTGGTACTTTCGGGGGCTACTAGTAGTACCTTGTAATACTTGTAGTACCCCCGAGGATCCTGTCTAGGGTGGGCAGTATCGATGGTAGTGGAGGGAGAGCTACAGCAGTTGATTTGGCCATGCATGGACCAGGGCATCTTGGCCCAAGGGGCTTGTTGGTTCCCCCAATGAAAACCAAAGGGGATAGTGTGTCATTGACAGTGAGGCGAAAAGGTCCACCTCTGCCTGCCATATCTGTGCCAGATCGCTTGCACTACTTCGGGGTGCAGCTTCCCTTCGCCAGGGTGGTGGATGTGTCAGTACAGAACATCTGCAGCTGTGTTTTGAGTGCCTGGTAAGTGCATTGCCTTCAGGCTCAATAGTTGTGGATGTGCCCACAATAACAGCTGTTTGGCCAGCCTCAAGGATGGTTTGAACTTGGAGCTTCATTGGTGATTTATATGGTAGACTGCAGATGTGATGTCTGTTCTTATAAGGACATGTCTTCCTACCAACACTGAAAGGAAATCCCAAGGACTCCTCTGGCCTCTGACTGTCCTGCATTGCCATACAGCTCCCCAGCCTGCCAGGGAGGCATCTGTGGTCAATATCTGTGAGAGGATATGGCCCCTAAGGGACCCCCCTGGGTAAGATATGCTTTTCTCCTCCATGGGTGCAGGCACCTTAGGCAACTAGCAGTGAATCTGACCAGCATGTGCTTGTGTTGAGTGGGCTGCAAGCAGAGATTGTTCAGCCAGATTTGAAGAGGCCGTAATGACAGAAGGTCCAAAGGGACCAATGCTGTGAGCATACCTGGCAGTCTCAGAAACAATTTGAGGACCAGAACCCTGCCTCTTCTGAAGTAACTGATGAGCTGGAGGATGTTGCTGACTTGCCTTTGAGAGGGGGTAGCCCTCATCAACCGTGAGTCCAACTGGATGCCAATAAACACTTTTCGCTGACTATCAGAGAGCTCTTTCCATAATTCACTATAAGCCCCACCTTGGTAACATGGGAGATCAGCAATGCTGATTCTCTGAGTGCATCTACTCTTGACTGGGAAAAGATCAATCAGTTGTCCAGGTATGGGGAAATTTGCATTCCCCCTGGCCTATAATGGAGACAGTGCCACTGCAACACACCTGGTGAAGAGCCTTATCGCTAGCGAGATCCCGAATGGGAGAACTGGTGAGCCCTTCCCTCAAAGGCGAAATGAAGGGCCAGAGCCTTCGTTGTGCTCTCGGCTGGGTAATCAGCTGTGGTATGTACTGAGCCATATTTGTTGCCATAGAGGGTCTCTGTCCAGCGTGGTGTTCATGGCGCAGACTAGCAAACTGTTGTCAGACCAGTGTAACCTGTAGACTGTGCTCCAGGGCTTGCTGTGCAGCGGGGCTGAACAGTTCCCCAGGAATGAAGAGAAAAGAGTAGAAGGCTCTCCTGCAGGGTTCCAAAAGTGGAGACTGGGCCAGCCACATTTGGCGTCGAGCGAGGGTTAATGAAGACATAAGCCTACCCCACTCCCTGGTCATATAAGTGAATGCCTGCAAAGAGGCGTCACTCAGGCTCTGGGCAGAAGGGTCAATCTCCGAAGTCTGCTATGTCTTGGACAGGGCCAGTATAAGGTGTGACATGGAATTTCCCAATACGTCCCATACATGCTGCTGTGTCATAGCTTCTCACAATGAAGTCACCTGTCAACCGGCACTGTGGCCTGGGACAGCGTGCATCAGGCCGAAGTGCTTCATCAGGCAATAGCACAAGGGCGGCAACAGCTGGCTCATTATTGGGCATGCAGTCAAGGCCATGGCTGGATGCATCCTGCATATTAGTGCTCTACAGACTGTCAGGAGATGAGAGAAATGTCTGGGCTCTGTCCAGCACCTTTGCAGCTCCTTGATATATGGAGCTGAGGGTGGGACACAGAGAGCTGTGAACCGGGAGGTCTTCATGAAAAAAGTGCTCTGAGGAGTCACCAGGACAAGTGCTTCCCAGATGTACCAAGGCCATTTTTACCACAGGACTGACTGATGTCTGACTGGTCTCTGAATCCTTCAGCATACTGTGGCTGTGGAATTGGGATGAGTTGAATAGGAGCTTTCACTTGCCCCCTCCTCACCATAACCTCTCCCAATAACTAGGCTCTCAGAGGCCCTAGTGGAGAGTATATCCTCCTCTTAGATCTCAAAGGCTGATGACAGTATTGGAGACAGTGCCATGGGAGGAGACTGCGGTGTGGCTGCAGCAGGACCACTAACAGACTGTGCACTGTGTGGTTGCAGATTAAGGAGGAAAGACTTAATCTCTGCAAACTCAGATGCCAAGGTGTCTGCCTTCTGGGCTAGGGGATCTACCTTTCAGCATTTACCCTTACCAGGGGCCCCCCGCGACTTGATCTTACGACGCTTATGAGAGCTAGGAGACATGGCCTGTGTAGGATGCGGTTGGGTGCCCAACCTGCCTTCTGGCTGGGCCAGCCTGGCTGCCTGTGCTGCTAAGCTCATGGAGCTGTAGTTCATACATGCCAACTCAGTCAGTCCCTCTCTTAAGTGGTCAACCCCCAGGCAAGAGGGGGTTATGGCCATCCTCTAGTTCAAGAGAGGCCCGGCAATCAATACATGTCATAAACATGGGTAGCAGCAGTGATTAATTATCAACATGGTTTTCCACATGTGAACACTTTACCAGGTGGTAATTGAAAACAAAATAAGATCAATATATATACTTTGCAGTATCTCTGTATGGTAACACAGCTGAGATCACTGTGATGCAAGATGGTGCAGTTACAAGCAATGCTCCCTTGCATCTTAACTAATAAAGAAATCCCTGAACTAAATAACGGGGATGAAAAACAATGTTGATGTATGTCTTATGAGGGTTAGGTAATGGAGGTGAAGACAGATGTAGTTGCAGGTAAAATAACTTTAAATCACACACACAGGTCAACAAATCCAAAACGCTAGGTGGGTTGAATGTCACAAACAGGCAAAGGTCAAGTGATGAACAACCAGACTAGAGCAGGTAAGGCAGAGACGTAAACAG